GGTAGATAATATATATTTTAGAATTTACAAATCTTAAGAGAAACCCTGAGCATACCACATGGCTGAATAGCAGAAGATTCACACTGGAGCTACTCATAGAAAATCAACCACAACCACAGGTTATTGGAAGAAAGGGTCCTGTATCCTGATACCAAAATCAATCTGAAATAAGAGACTTGTAGGGCAAACAATACACAGACATAAGACTTTATAAAATAGTAAAACAGCCCACAGGGCTGCCTGTAGTACCACCATTCTGGGACATTTCCAAAATACTGATGGACTACAAAGGTGTGGCTCACTCAATTCATGCAGAATAGTTTGGGGTATAAGGCTCCTTGCCTTTTTTGGCTTCCTCCAAGTAGAGGATGTTACATGCTGGCAGCAAATTTCATCAGCACACATAAGAACACATGGCCAGGAAGTTGCTCCCTCCCAATGGGCATTTATTTATTTATTTGCCATACTGGCTAACTGAAACCTCTAGGAAGAAAAGGTTAAGTACTACAGCATCTGCAGTGAAGGGAGTGAGTGGATCAGTCCCACTCTTGCCCTGCTCACTGCTGTGTGAAAGGGAGGGACAGGGAACTTAGGCAGCTCTGGGCCATGGCAGGGTAATGGCTGGGAATTCAGCACTCACCCTGACCCAATTTCAACAAAGTAAGAGCAAAGGGAAAGGGGACTGAGCAGCCCTGGGATATCTCCACACAGCAAGGACAGTAAGTCTGCAACAGTATTCTACCTGACCTGCTCCAAGAGACGTAAGAAAAGACAGAGAGGTGCCAGTGGTGCAGAACAGAAAGGTCAAGAGGGTGCACTGTGCACAGGACTTAGAGCAGCCTTGGGCTGTCTGTCTGAGGATGCAACAGCAACCAGGAGAGCAGTGCAGAGCAACACAGGATAGAGAGACACGGGAAGGCCACAGAGGGACTCCAGAAAGTTGCTAGCGTGGCTCCAGCCTCCACTTCTGGGGGGAAAGATGAGCCCTGCACCCACACCAATGCTACTGCAGATTTGTTGGAGTACAGCACAGCTTTGGGCTCTAAAAGAGACACTACCAGATAATTAGGGCACAAGATGAATTTGTTGTTTTTTCTGTTTGGTTGGATTTCTTTTGTCTGACTTTGTTTGGTTAAATTGAATGAACATTGTCTCTGGTCTTTCTGGTTTGCTAAATATGCTTTTGATTTCAACTTCATTAGTTTTCTCCTATCTTCTTTTCCACTTTCCCAAAGCTAGGGTGATAATTCCTTATCTTTCAGCCTCCTTCTATTGTATTTCTTTTTATTTAGCTCTCTATTCTTCTTTTATCCCTCTTAAATTTTACCTGTTCATTGTAAATCACACTAATAAGTATAACTCACTGCATACACCATCCTGGGATTTATGTTGGGTTTTGTTATGGAACTGTAGATTTTGCTCTTATGATTAAAAGCACCACGTTAAACATTTATCACAGTTTGTCACTTACTAATCTGTGCTTGATGCTATACTTACCACAAACTGTACTACTTTAGCCAGAGTTTCACACCTGTTGCAATCAGTTGTTCTTCCTGATATAACAACACTGTGACGGTCTGGGTCATAATCATCACCCCAGAGCAATACTAAAGGACTGAGTTCTGGGTCAAATGCAACTTCTCATTCCCTAATAAGTTGGGAAAATAGAATTTGTGGAAAGACACAAAGAGAAAGAATGAGCTACACCTAGAAGACATCTCTGGGCAATAGACATTTCCTAGGGAAGTCTAAATACCAGTGGTAAAGTACCTACCATAAGCAATTTACAAGAAAATAAAAGTAAAACATAAAGAAAAGGACAAGATGCAAAAGGTGCAGAAACCAAATGCAACGTAGAAGTTCAATCTAGCAGGAAGTTTAAGGAACACAGTCATAGAAGAAATGAGAGGCCATCTACCTGAGTTTTCTAAAATAGTAATAGCAGAAGAAGAAAAAGATTGCAAGTGAAACTATGGAGAAAATCAGATAAGAAATATCTCAGGTTAAATAAACAAAGATGAGAATCATAATGAAGGAGTTTCTCAATGCATCTAGCGTAGGCACAGATTAAATAAAAAACAAGCTAAGAAACATGATGGAAAACATGAATGCTCAACAAAGGTAAGAAATAGAAGCCATGAAACACATTCAAACAAATATTCAGTAGATTAAAATTTCCACAGAGAGGTTATAAAATGAGGACATAATTTCAGTTGTAAAAGATAGGATGATAGTTAGTGAACATGAAAAGAAAAGTTTCTTTAAAAAAGAAGCCAAGGGATCATGGAAAAACAATCTGAGAGCAGGAAGATGATGCAAAGAAGAACATACAATTTTTCAGATTCAACTAAAAAGTAGGAGACAGTGAAAACAACATAAACACCTGCTTACAAATTAATGGCAAAAAAATCTAAAAAATGGAAAAAGAATTTGACATACAGTACATTAGGTCTATAGGACTCAAATGAGCCATGACATTAATAGATCTACACCAAGGAATATAATAATCAGATTCTAAAATTGCAGCACAAGAACAAACATATTAATAGTTAGACAAAATAAACAAATTACCTACAAAGGAAAGATATCAGGATCATAGCAGACTTCTCAACACACACTCTCAAGTCAAAATAGCCTTCAAGTCCTGAAGAAAAATATATACTGAGGAACTATCTTTTAAGATCAATAGAAAAGTAAGACAGTTCCATGACAAAGAAGAACTGAAGAAATTCATGACCACCAAATCAGATCTCAAAAATACTATGCAAGATATGTTAGAAGTTATAATGAAGACAACAATCCTAAGAACACTAATATATAGCATCAACCAGGCAAAGCAAGCAATTAAATAGAGGGAAAAGACAGGGAATAAACAAAAGGAAAATAACATGAAAAGGATAAGCCAATATATATCAGTTATAACTGTAAACGTAAACATTCTCCATTAATTAAATAAAAGAAACAGACTGGTGGAATGGATCAAGAAATAAGATTCCACAATATGCCACATACAAGAAAAACATTGGACACAAAAAGAGATTCATTGACTAAAAGTCAAAGGATAGAAAATGATACCTCATGTGATGAGTACTCAAGCAAAGGCAGGAGTAGCTATTCTGTTCATAGGCAAATTGAACTTCAAGCCAAAACTGATCAAGAGACACAAAAGGTCACTATATACTTGTTGAAGGACAATTTCAAGAAGCAGTAACACCCCAAACTTAGAACTTTTCTTTGCATACCTGGGGCTGCCTACAGTGGCCCTGCAGCTACCATCATACCACAAAATGAGTATATTGAATTACACCATATATGCTATGGGTACCACTTGGATTGCCATGAGAAAAAGAAAAGAAGGAAAGTCAAGAGGCTCATGAATGTTCAAAGAAGGCAAAAAAAAAAAAAAATATTGGCCTGGAGGCTAAGCTCTACCACAAACAGTGCCATGTAGAGAAAATACAAATGAGGAAGACTATCAAGATGCATGAAAAAAGAAAAGAATGGTGAAAAGACTCCACAAGGAGCAGTACCTCCCTTCCTGCTAGACAGAGAAGGACAGTCTTGTGCAAAAGTACTTTCCAACATGATTAAACAAAAATGAAAAGAAAAGACAGGAAAATGGAAAGTTCATCTGCCCAAAGTTCATGGCCAAGGAGAAATGGAATTATTAAGTTATTCAAACTGAAAGAGAAAAAAGAAGGCACAGAAGAGGATGGTTACTATAGTCTGCTTTGTTGGAAATGGCTTTACAAGAAAACCACCTAAATATGAAAGATTCATTAGGCCAATGGGCTTACATTTTAAGAAGGCCCATGTAGCACATCCTGAAGTGAAAGCCACCTTTTGCCTGCCAGTACTTGGTGTGAAAAAGAATCTTTCATCACCTCCGTATACAGCTTTGGGTGTTATTGCCAAAGGAACAGTGATTGAGGTGAATGTGAGCAAGTTGGGCCTTGTGACACTAGGAGGCAAGGTTACTTGGGATAAATATGCCCAGATAAGCAACAATCCTGAAAATGATAGATGCATCAATGCAGTCTTACTAGTTTGACAGATGTCTCATACAATAACTTCTTATACTTATTGAAGACTACAGAACAATCAGGAAAACCATAACTTGAATACTGCTGAACAACTCTCATGACTACATTCATCAAGAAAACTATTTATTAAATTGTGAAAACATTAAAATGGAAAAAAAAATGATAACAATCATAAACATAAATGCACCAAATGTTGGCACATACAACTATGTAAAACAAAGGAACATGAAAAATCAAATAGAGCACTATCAAAATTATAATGTAATAACTCAACACCCCACTATTACAAACACACATATTGCCTAGCTAAACTTGAGCAAAGACGTAACAGAATTGAATCAACCTTGTGAACAAA